GACACTGAGGGTTGCAATCCCGTTGCTGGTCCCCGGTCCGGTACGGGGGCAACACTGAGGGTTGCGATCCGTTGCCGGACACGGAAAAAGACAAAAGACAAAAAAATAAAAATAAAAATAAAAAAGAAACTGCATTTATAAACAAAGCAATGAAATTATATCAAACAGCTCAAAATGCAAATATCGCCTTGGCCACACACACCCCCGACACCCACAGCCAGCCCAGCAGGTGACCAATGAACTGCTGCAGGAAGCGCCCCAGGCTCTCCCAACCTGGGGCAGTGGGGGGCCTCGAACCTCAGCCACGCCCCCCCCACACCTGCAGCCAGCCCAGCGGTGACCACCGAGCCGCTGCAGGAAGTGCCCCAGACTCTCCTGAGCAGGGGTGGGGGGGCTGGCAGGGTGAGGGCTCTTGCCACACCCCCGCTGACATCTGCACCCAGCCTCGCAGCAAGCTACTACTGGAAGCCCCCAGATCTCCCCTGTGGGAATGAGGGGGGTGCCACAGTCCTCAATCCCACCCCTCCTCCTTCCTCCTTCCCATTTCCTTCCCCTTTCCTCTCTCCCCTTCCCTCCCAACAGCTCTGCAACAACCTCCTAGAATGTAAAAAATATTAATAAAATTACATTTTCTTTAAAAAAAAATGCAAATATCCTCATCTTTCTGTGCCCCAAAGAGATTGCTTATCATTAATCACACTCACACTTAAATACACATTTAAGCACCACTAAGACTTTTATTCACATAGTAAATAACGTTAAGTACAAAAAGAGATCTTCTTTCTCCTGAGAAACTACACCAGTCTCTCTCAACTATAATGTGAATCAGAGCCATCTGAAGGGCATGTTGAAACAGATGACAGGACCCCAACAGCAGATTTTCTTATTCACTCTGTCAATGGTGGAGTCAGAGAATATGCATTTCCAATACTGATGGTGATGAAACTGAATCCTGGACCACGTTTTGAAAACAACCAACTAGATTAAAACCCATTTGTTCAGGGACTAGGTCTTTGTTGTTTTCTATTGTATTCTGGTTAATCATTACTGACCCTGGAAGACAGTAAGTACATAATTTATATATCTTCCATAGGAGACTACAATAAATGATCCAGTCTTACCTACTGAAGCCAGGTTCTTGTAGTTCTCCAGCATCACATCTCTGTATAGGTTTCTCTGAGTTTGATCCAATAAAATCCACTCTTTTTGGGTAAAGTCCACAGCTACATCCTCAAAAGTCACTGGGTCCTAAATCATCACAGATACACTGGTTCGAGTCATGTAATATGTCCACATACATTCATGAAATAATGGAGAAGGACTTTCTCCTACCACACGCAATCATGGTCAATCTAACTCAAATCACATGGCTTTAATGGCACCTCTTACACCTGAACTTATCTCACCACCACTAGACTGGCAGCTCTTCTCATCTTATTTCCCTTTATTGCAGCACATTCCTAAGCATATTACAAACACTTGACAAATGGTAACATATGAATAAATTCACTGACAAAAGTACCTTTCATCTTCCTTACCATGTGTTAGAGCACTCAGCAAAATAAGAAACATGCACTTGGCACCATGAGGGTCAAAATAACAAGTAATTACAGAAATACCTGTGATGATTTTTAAGGTACTAACTAACCAAAACAGAGTATCCGCTCCCTGAAAAATTCACCTAGAGACTCCATCCTTGAGTGAGGCTTTATTTGCTTTAAGAAACTGTGAAGTCTATCTAGAAGGAAATGTGTCTACCTGATGGATGGAAGATGTCATTTTTTTTAAGAAAAACATATGTGCAGCATACCTGTTTACAATTTATCAAAGAGTCAGCAAGCATCCTTGCTCCTGGTATCTTTTCTTCGTGAAGGCAGATCAGGTCCCCAGAAGGACCACAACCTGGAGGGGGGAAAAAGAATGAGAACCTGGAGCTGATCATAATAATTTACTCATTCGTGTGCCTGGAAGTAATTCCATCATAGTAAAAAACTCCAATATAATTCTGCACACTCTTGAACACACACACACATACACACTGCTGCATACCCTGGCACAGCAGGCTGTCTCACCTGAAAAAGAGAAAGTGAGCTACGCTGCCCATAGGGAAAAAGGTAATAGTCTCATTTTACAGGTAAGGAAATTTAAGCCCTTACAAATGAGTATTGCCTTTGGTGTTAATACTTATCCTGGCACAGCAGGCTGTCTCACCTGAAAAAGAGAAAGTGAGCTACGCTGCCCATAGGGAAACAGGTAATAGTCTCATTTTACAGGTAAGGAAATTTAAGCCCTTACAAATGAGTATTGCCTTTGGTGTTAATACTTACAGAGAATATCATGTAGCACCTGTTCACACAGCACTCATACCAAGAGCTGACTTACAAAACTACATTCTCTGGCCACCTTCAGCACCTCCAAAATGAACCAGGAGCATTACAGCTCTGTGGGTCTATCTTGCTTTGGGGAGGACTTAAAGCAGAATCTCTGAAAAAGAGCATCAACAGGACTTACCACGGGACAAATCAATGGCTGCCAATGTGAGGCTGATGGTGAAATTTGCCTGAACGGTCCTCTCTGTGATGCCAAGACCACTTCAAAGCAGGTGATGAATCTACAAGGACTGCACAGTCTCTCTCTGTCTTGCCACAGGGTTATCTGGAGTCCTGTTTCGTATCAATCATTTGTCAACAAACATTACTTATCAGTCATCAAGTATCATAAATTAGTGCTCTCTCTACAGATAATATAGGTGAAAGCCATTAACACCAACATACTCCATGAGTATTATTATCAGTTGTCATTTACAAGGAGCAGTATGTGTCAGAAGTCTCAGTAGGAGCCTTACATATATAAGCTCACTTAATTATCACAAAAATCCTTCAAAATAGATACCACCCCCAATTCATGGTTAAAAAAACCCTTAGATTCACATAACTCAAATTACTAGAAATACGTATTACTTGTTTTGTTTATTGCAGGTACTGAATATTTTTAAGTTATGTGCATGACCTACACATTATATTTCTATTAGACAGCACTGCTATAGTTGGCTGCTTGGCACAATGAAGACTAGAAAACTGAAAGGTTTTATCTGGTTAACACCCTTGAGCGTCCCATGATGGAGCTTGGAGCAGACTGGAGTCTGTGCCACCTATGAAAGTTTCAGCTCTGGCTTATTGCTTCATTCTTTTAACAAATACTTAAGAAGTTCTGACCCTGTGTCAGGCTCTGAGCAGAGAGCAGTGAAATATACAGAAAATATCCTAGGCCTCAAAGATCCAACATTCCTATGAAAGATAAGCAATGAAGTGTAATTGATATATCAGTTCTTAAGGGGTATAATAATGAAGCAGGTCAGAAAATAAATACCGTCATAGAGACAAAGGCACACACTCACTGAAAGCACAAATATTGCGAACTGGTTTTTGAGCAAGATGATGGCAGAAAAGGGAAATAACCATTGACTATGCCATCTTTGAACCAAAATAATTAGAGAAAGAATGACAAAGGTTTTTACAAAACTTAGAATACACTTAAAATACTGGGCAGCTGTGTTCACCCTATCACAGCCCTCTGCTTGCATTGTCTCAGGAGCCCCCAAACCACTTCCCTTATGGAGCTTCCCAATCCATGAATTAGTTTGGACAAAGAAACTGGTTTAATTTTTATGATGCAAGGCTGGCCGGTTACTACAGTTGGTCAGAGAATGGTGTTATAAAAGCAAGATCAAAGGTTCATGTGCTCATACCAGCCCACCCCATACACACAGAGCTCAATTTTTATTGTGCCTCAGTTTACCTTTTAACAAATCATAACTCAGGTGAACTCACAGAGGGCCCAGCTGAACAACACACCCACCCACTACTCCCAAAGGTATAACTTGAATAGAGACAATCTTGGAACTGGAAAAATCCCCTAAATAGGCTCTCTGTCCTACAAAGCAAAGCCTTTTATGACAGGGAAAGCTAAGTGTAGGCTCCTGGAACTCCCTACCCCTCCCCTATTAAACCAGAAGTCAGACAACATTCCTGGGACCCCAGCACCAGGAGGTAAAATGGCTCTTAGATGTGTGGAGCCAGGACTGGAAATGACTAAAAGGAACCACCTACGTTACTTCCGATTAAAGCCTCGGATGGGCCTGGCCGGGTTCCACAGCTTGGGCCTCAGACATGCTGGACCTTGTTGGCCATGCAAACTCTAGTTTCCTTGAGAGATGGTGCTGATGGACCCTAGGATCGATTCTGCTTGCAGGCTGGAGGCAGAAACAGGTCCATAGCACCCCTGGGTAAGGCTAAGGACTGCCAGTGGGTAGCATACCCAGGAAAAGGGGACAGAGGTGGGACCAGGCTCAGGGTGTGTTGTAGATAGGCCAAATATACAGGAAGGGCAAGGCTGGGGTGAGGATACATTCCAAACAATGCCCATCAACAGCTTTTCTATATGCCTCAACCCATGTTCTGGTGTCTGTTCAATCATCTTCCATATTGATAAGCCTGCCGACGTATGGCATGCTATATCACTTCCATTCAATCTCTCTGTGGACATTTATTCCCATTATTTATTTATCGGAGCACAATGCTAAAGTGGAGTAGTTGATTCCTTTGTGTTTTCAATGTAATATTTTCTGTAAATCTTGATATTTTTTTCTCCATCAAATATGTACTTCTATTGTTATTTTTCTGATCTTACTATTCAGGCCAGGGCCACTTATATACTAAGTTGTAAAACAGCACTGATACCAAGAATGCTCCAGAGTTTTATTTAGAAATGTATCAGAATCCTAATAAAAATACCTAAAGTTTTCTTTAGGAAGTGGCACATTGATATTAAACTTTATAGAGAAGAACAAAGATCTGAAAATAACCAAAAAATACTAACAAAAGTGATGATGATCTACAGGTGTTGAAACATACTGTGAAGCCACCATAATTAAAACT